TTGAAAGTTCTCTTGTGCTCGTCATATAAAGCAGAGAGTGTCGCGAGCGTGTCCTTAAAACTTGTGTTCCAAGTGGCGTATACAACAGATTGTTTATTTACATCAAAACACGTGTTCCGTGTAGTAGTAATATGGCCAGAAATAAAAAACAGCCGTTATCAGCCATCTTTGATCTGATTATGAAACACACTGATATATAGGATGTATGTGCCAAATACGAATGAAAATGGTACATAAATTGTGGAAATATAGTAGTAAGGCCAAAAAGTCAGATGGCTGTCAATTGGCCATCCTTGACCAGATTTTGAAACAAATTGTCATGGACATGCATCCTAACATGTATAAAGTACATGTATGTGCTAAATTTGAATGAAAACTGACAGAGCACGTCCAAGATACTGCATACAAAAATAAGATGCCTGCCAGTCGACCATCTTTGATCCAATTGCAAAATAAATCGTCATGGACATGTATCCTAACATGTATAATCTATGTACCAAGTTTGAATGACAACTGACAAAGCATGTCCAAAATACAACATTTTCAAAAAACAAGATGGCTGCCAGTCGGCCATTTTGAATCGAATCACTAAACCACTGCATGTGCATATGTCCCACATAAGGTACTAGGCACATGCAAAGAATGAACGGAATCGGTTCACAGGATTCTGAAATATGACTCTGGACAGACTGACACACGGACGGACGGACGGACAGACAGACAGACGGACATGTATCCTAACATGTATGCTCTATGTACTAAATTTGAATGAAAACTGACAAAGCATGTCCAAAATACAACATTTTAAAAAAACAAGAAGGCTGCCAGTCGGCCATCTTTGATCCAATTGTGAAATAAATCTTCATGGACATGTTTTTCAATGAAATTCAAATGTAACCATGATAGATTCTGACAAGCCAGATATTGAATGGAGCTCAAAATTGAAAATTTATGCAAACAAGACATGACATGTAATGTCATAGGCCCCGCTCAGAAAAAAAATAAAAAACTTATATTGAACTGGGTTTGTGTGAGAGTGAATTAATTCATTGTGAGCTGTATACAAATTCAATTATTAATTGTTCAGAATTGATGTGTTACAATTTTAGAGGGGTGGGGTAAAAAAAAAATATTCATTTGGCTTTTCTGAGACAATTTATAACTTGTTAAACATATAATGCAATGTGCACTTGTAAACAATTATAACCTGTCCCTGTACCAACTTTTAACAAAACTGGATGACACATATCAGAGAAAAAGCTTGTTTTTTTTCGATTTTTAAGGAAAAAAATTGCCTCCAAGCCGTAAAAATGTATTCAATCAAACAGGTCATGAATGACACTGCCTTCACTTGTTGTCATTTGAAAGTTGCAACATATAATTTGTCCAGTTTTTGGCATGGACATAAATTGGGAAACATGATTTCTATGGCATTTTCAAGTTTGTAGCACTCTCCATGCTGATCTCAGGAAGAACACCAGAGAGCAACAAACAAGTACAACAGGTAAAATGACATGTAAGTATGCAAATCACATCTGCAAATATGTTGAAGAGTCAGTGTTGTATCTGTTTGGATAAACTTCCTTGTACAACTGTATTCCTAATACGAGGACATTGTCAATCACAGAACTGTTCCAGCGAAAAACTTCTGATATTTTAAACAGTAACAGGGCAATGACACTGTTTGTCATACAAGTACTAGCACCAGATGAGGCACTGAGAAACTGCAATGATCCTTGGTGTACATTACATGTACCTGTGTCAACAACTTTACTTCCCATGTACTTCATGTACAGATCTACATGTAGTTTGTGGCACTAAATAAGGACAAGATTACTTCTCATACGACAATGATACAAATAAAGTGCAAGAATCCAGAAAAATATTATCAAGTTTTTATTATCATACATTAATATTAACAAATCGTGTGAAATTGAACTTTTATGTACAGAAAAACACATATTTATGCTTTGGTTGACAGCACTTCTCAAAGTAAAAAAAAGAGGACCTGCGAAACTTTATACAATTGTCAGACATGCAGCGAATAGTATGCTTTTGTAATATATGCAGTTCCAGTGGCTTTGCTTTCTGAGAAAAAAATTCTGGTTCTGCACCTGAAAAAAACAAAAAAACATTTAGTCAAAAGTAAGCAGACGTTGTAGCATATGTGCTCAATTAGAGAATTGAAGATATCATCACGAAATGAACAAATCTGAGAGAGGTTCACATGTAGTACCTATATATGTAGTATCAAAGCAATTGGACTTGCGGTTTTTAACAAGAAGTCGAAAATATCACTTTTTACCAAAAATCACAAAAATATTCATCAAAATTAGAGAATTGAAGATATCATCACAAAATGAACACATCTGAGAGAGGTCCACATGTAGTACCTATATATGTAATATCAAAGCAATTGGACTTGCGGTTTCCAACAAGAAGTCGAAAATATCACTTTTTATCAAAAATTACAAAATTATTCATCAAAATTAGAGAATTGAAGATATCATCATAAAATGAACAAATCTGAGAGAGGACCACATGTAGTACCTATATATGTAATATCAAAGCAATTGGACATGCGGTTTTTAACAAGAAGTCGGAAAGTTCACTTTTTACCAAAAATATTCACCAAAATTAGAGAATTGAAGATATCATCATGAAATGGACAAATCTGAGAGAGGTCTACCCAAGGTACATATACACCAAGTATCAAAGCATTCAGGCTTATGGTTTTCAAGAAGAAGTCGAAAAAGTAAAACATTGACACGGACGACAATCACTCATATGATAAGCTCCGCTCGACAAAGTAGACAGCGAAGCTAAAAAGATATTACTTAATATATTTATACCAGCCAGAAAGAAATTGCATTAGGAATATAAATGGACAACAATTGATGCATGTCTAGCAATATACTGTTTTAAAGGCCGCAAGATGTAATGAAGTAGCAAACCAATCACTACTCGAGTCAGACTGGCTGGAAAACTGCACAATACAATGTACATACAAAAATGTATGCAGATGATATATGAGCAACTCCACCAAATATAAAAATATTCTTTCCATAGTTATGACTCAAATGTGAATGTGATTTTCCACTCCTTAGCAATACTAGTTTGTGTATTGTATTGTACTGTATCGTACAAGTTCATTGTGATTCTAAATGTTTTTGTAATATTATTTAGCATTCTATTTAGTTGGTTAACTTTACTGTATCTTAATTAATGTAGTTTATTTTATTTTTATACGACCATAGAACAACTCACTGTAGTTTGTTTTAATGTTGAATAAATATTATAATATTATTATTATTAAAATCAGTCACAGTACAATGATGAGTAATTGCGCGAAATTGTTGCAAGGACAATACTTTTCTTGATTTGCGTGCCGTCGTGCGTCGATAAAAAATGCACGGAATGGTCGGCAGTACCGATCAAGTTCGTCTAGTAGTGTGACCTTCATGGCTGGCGAAAAGCAAGATGTGGTATAATCTTTTAAATAGGCGTCAAGGAGGAGTGAAATGCCTTAATTTGGTTCTACAATAGACGTCATGAAATATTGGAAAATTACAGTCAATCACAAAAACTGTTCACATGACAACAAAAAATATTCACTATATTTAATATGCATTATTTTTTTGTTAGTAGCAAATGATCACGGTACGGTAGCTTACTTGTTTTCGAAGTGTTGTAATTGTTGATTAGTACTCAGTAGTGATTATATTAACGTACAAAAAATAAATTCGTTGAATTATTATGAAATGCAAGTAAAATTCAACTTAGTTTTATCGTAAGCAAATGATTTCGGTTACATGCTAACGCTCGATGCGATATGATATCCGCCATGTTATCCATGCACAAGAGGCGTGTTTATTGACCAGATAGGTCAAGTCGCTAATCAACCAATCAAAATGCTGGATGGTGCCCATGTGCTCAAATTACCAATAAACATTTAAATATGTTAATGACAGTTCAGTGACCTCATGGTGAAAGCGACACGGAAGAGATTTATCGATGTTTTAGTGCGATCTTTTGGCTTCGTTTTTCATGGGAAAAAGGCATGATTGTTTTTTTTAAACGGCCCGATTTAGAAAAATAAATAAACGTACTGTCCCAAATAAGAGTGTACCGGGTGGAATTTTTAGGGGGAAAAAATAAACGTACCAGTACGTTTATTTGGGACATGTAGTGTTCTGGGCAAGCTCTCCGAGTAGCGACATATTTTTAACTTCACATATGGTGTGATCAGTGGATTACGTAAATAAACCAACACTTTCAATGAGTACATGCCGACCCAACTAAACTTATTTATGGCTGTTTATGAACAGCGAGGACGCATCTCATAGAACAATAGCTGTGGAAATCATAATGTAAATAAATGTTGCGGAAATCAAGCATGGCGATAATGATTTTGAGCGAGCCAGAGTCTGGCAAGCGTCTCAGAGCAGCATTGCGCCGACACCACCATGACGTTTGAATCCCGGAGAGAGCACTGCAAACCTCTTAAATCACGAGGTAAACTTTCAATTTACACAATACATAATCAGTTCCTACAACAATAATAAAAAGGCAGTTTTTCTGGCGAAACTCTCGCCAGGTTAGCAATAGTTTCTCACGATCACCAAACCCGAGACACAAACCATAATTCAAAGTGTATAAATACCATAACAAGCACAGTTTCTTACCTTTGAAATTGATGAGACACAATTTTGTCCATATACGCGTTGCGCAAATAAAGATACAATTCTGGAATACAATATCCTCACACAAAAATGACTGTGATTTCCATCGGGACGAGAACTGCGTATGCGTCATCAAAACTCAGATTAAACTCGGGTAATTTCGGGAAAAGTCGGATTTTCCAGCAATTTTGAAGGAAAAATGTTAAAAATCAAAGAAAAATACAGTGAAACTTGAAAGAATCGAAAAAATAACTTGATGTGCATAATAGCACCATCAATTCCTGTCTCTGTACCAACTCTGAACTGAATTGGATCACACATGTGTGAGAAAAAGCTAGTAACGTGAAAATGTGCACACACGGATGCACAGACACGACCCAAATTAATACCCCCTGCCCGGATCGCAGATCAGGCAGGGGGCGAATTACCTCACTAATATACAGTGTAGGGTAAAGTCAATAAATTAGTTTGGTCTGCAATGATCAAACAACTTTGTATGACCACAATCATTCATAAAAGTCTTTTAGCTGACATACAATACCTTCAACTCTTTTTCAATTCTATCGACTTCTTCTCCAAGTCCATTTACAATTCTTTCTCCATGAGACAACATAAAAAATTCCATCTCTTCCATAGATTTAAAACTTTGTACTTCCTGAAAAACAGTAAATAAACAAACATGATTCATCAGATAATGAAGGAAAACTGAAACAATTAAAATACAAAGTTGGTAAAACAAGCATTTGTAAAATGTAAAATTTTAAACTATGGAGCGGCAGTTATAGGAAATCGGTATTGTAAACCAATTGAAGATGTTCAGTTAAAGTGGTGTAAATATATATTAGGTGTGGGGCAAAATACAGCCAACAATGCAGTTATGGG